ACTCGTGCGCAAGTTTAAAAAACCCGAACGGATCCCCATAAGCCCGAGGAGTACACAGAATAACTATAGCTAAAGAGAATAGAACCCAAGGCCGAAGAACATCGAACCAGAACCTCAAACCCAATTAGTAGAATCTGACGGTATGGAGGCCGAACCTCGAACCGAATGCTCACCAGAAGTACCCAAGAAGCCAATCACAAGTGTAAGTAGCTGAGGCCAGACCTCTAACCGGATGGTTCACATAAGTATGTAGGTGATTGAGGCCGGACCTTGAACCGGATGCTCTACATAAGTATGTGAGTGATCGAGGCCGGACCTTGAATCAGACGCTCCTCGAAAATTATCAATGAGGTCAAGGTCGGGTCTTGAATCCAGATGCCCGACAAAGGTGCCAATATAGCTGCTGAAAGAGTCTCTATTGATCCATACTCATAAATGCCCGTGGAACGCCATCCACGCTTAGCCAATTCTTGGAACCGAATTGAAAACCAACGTCGAATTGCGGAGTGGAACTTAGTGTCGCGATGTAATTCCTGAAGCCGTAACATCGAAGAAGTAAAGATATATATCGACGGAGCAAGCTTATCGCCTAGCTAAGGCCCAAACTACCAGACTCACGTTTGCTACACCAGTCTACAAGGATCTAAGCCGGCCGAGCGACGTAGGGGTAAAACTAAGTCCTACCGATTCTGAATTATGTATTTCTAAGGCAAGCCCTAGTCAAACCTAAACTAAGGCCCAACATGCTTCAAATAAACAGTAATTAAGCCTACAAGTACTCCACATAGCATAGCGGGCCAATGAATAACACAAAACATGCTCATAGTTACCCGATAATTGCCGCAATAGGCTGAAAACATGATTTCTAGACACATATGCATGATTCAGTAACTACCAACCCAAATCCCAACTAATCAACATGCATTCACACTCTCGAGCTCAATCTAAGAGAGGGAAACCATAGCCTACCTGTAGGCAGATCACGCGTGCTCCAAAAATCACTTCTCCGGAGCTTTCCTTTTCCGAACGGTCTCGAAACGCTGACACACTGTCAAAAATAAAGTCACAACGTTATTACGATCGTTTAGACACTAAAATCGCAAGAAACGGAAACAGACCAATTTTGGGGTCAAAATGGGAAAAGTGTCAGTAGCAAATTTCTGTCCCAGAATGCCGGTATTTGGGATTATATCTTCATTTCAATCTTGAGATATGACTGCTTTTTTCTTGCTTCTATATTTATTAGGAAAGCTAAATGGTTTGTCATGTAGTTGTTTAGATTTTGACTAAATTATATCTATTGTACTTGTTCATAGTGATCTTTCTTAGAGTTCAAAGGTAGCATGTTTGTTTCTTTTAATTTACTTGAGCTACTATTTTAAGTTTAGTTAGTAGTCTAAGTGTATTTTGTTTAAGATCACTTTTTGTAGTCCATTTTTTAAAAAGGAGAAAAAGAATAAGTGTGTTTAGTTGGTTTCCCTTGGATACATTATTGTTTTCCCTAAATTGGTAAATCTTGTTATCTTTTGGAGCTACGGTTTTGAGATGCTATTTTTGAGCACTAATCCTTATCTTTTTATTTTTATTTTGTTTCATGTGATACTATCCGAGTCCTTTTGGACTCCCATCTTCTTTCCCATATTCCGGGTGGGCCGTAAAGGCCCACATCCACTTTCTTCTCTTTCGAGTCAGCCTCATTGCCAATAGAGAAGCAGGAAAACAGGTTGAAGGCAACAAATAAGGCTGAAAACTTAAATTACAGGTTTCGGAAGGCTGAAATACAGCTTGTATACACCGATATACAGCTATATACACTGACATACATGGTAAAAACGCAGCAGCCGCAGGTTGAGGAACAAAAGAGGGGTTGGAAATTTAAAATACAGGTTGTGGAAGTTCAAAAGAAGGCTGTATACATCAGTATACAACTATGTATACACAATTTGCTTTGGCACAAAATTGGGCCTTGACTCCTGCAGGTCCAAGAAAAAGGGTCCAAAAGCCTACCATTGAAATTATTGCAGGTCCTAGCAGAAAAAATGGGTCCAGAAGACCCCTAAAATGGGCCAAGCCCATGACAGAATTGTAGATTTAGGGTAGGTTGGGCATAGGCCCAAGATTTTTGATTTTATTTCCTTTCTTATCTTCATTTGCTTATTATGTTCTAACCTTTTTTTTATTTAAGTTGGTTTAATTTAATTAAATTCCCAAAGAGATTGCCTTTCTTCTTTTTTATGTTTAAGTGAAATATTTGAGAATTTTTTTTACTTATTTATTAGTTGTTTGCTAAGATAAGAGTTATTTTCCTTAAAATTCCTTTAGATTTATTTCCTTATAAATAAAAATGGGTTTTTATTACTTAATTAACTTTTCAAGTTAGTCAAATATTTTAGTCAAGTTGTTGGTCAACCGCACGTTAGAGGACACTACGAGGGCCTAATACCTTCTCGAAATGTAAATTGAACCCCGAACCCTTTTTCTTATTTCAACTAATTTTATTTTGTTTAAGTTATTTGAAAAATTCTAAGTTTTCTTAATTTCTTTAAAAAATTAAGTGGGAACTATGTTTATTTTGGAAATTCAATTTCTCTTAAATCATAAGTTTGATCGATTTTTCGAAAACAAGTCATTAGTCATTTTTTATTTATTTATTTTTTTCGAGTAAAACATGGGGTGAGAAAAGAAAAATAGGATAGGGGATTAACAATCTGGAGAATCGAACATTCACCAATAAAGTTAAATTTTGAGGTAGCTAATCAATTGAGATACGATGATTCTAAAAAAAATAAGCAATTAATGTTGAGTATAAAATGAAAAACATAATAATCTTTCATTTAATATCATAATGGTAATAAATAAAAGAAATAAACATATTTTAAAAATAAGTAACAAATTAAATTAAACAGAAGCGGTAATAAAGTAATTTCAATGATAAATAAAAAGAGATTGAAACTTACACATAAATTGCATTTGCTGAATGCGATTTATGCATTTCTTTCTCAACTCAATTAAAGTTGAGTACAAAATGAAAAAAAAATATTAATTTTTTTATATGATAAAAGTAATAAATAAATAAAATAAACATATTTTAAAAATAGTGAACAAATAAAATTAAACGGAAGGGGTAATAAAATAATTTCAACAATAAATAAGATGCGATTGAAAGTTACTCATAAAACGCATTCGGTGTATCATTGACTTATGAGTAATTTTTTATGAAGAAACCACAACAGTATATATATATATATATATTGATTTAGTATCAGTTAGGCGAAATTAATAGCCTTAATGATATCAATTCAATATTTGATATTATTTAGTATTGGTTAAATGAAAATTATCAACCTAAATAAATTAGGGGTATGGGTTGTACATTTATTTTTTGATTGAATGAATATTTCTTAAATTACTTTAGATTGAGGTATGAAAATATAATTAGTTTGAATTTTATGACCCATTTTATTTAGTTTTTCCAATTAATGTTGGGTTACAAACTAATAAGGGACAGGTCAAAATGGATTGAATCCTATGCTAACCCATAAGCTAACTGGAGCATAAAGTATTGGAAGATAAACCCAAGCCCAATGGGTTAGAATTGCGTATCTACAAATTTAATTTTCTTACTACTATATTTTTTTCGTAATATATGATTTAACATATTTAGTTTTTTCATGCTAAATAGAGTAACCAGCAGAAGGATGTATAAAATAGTATAGCTTTTTTAAATCTAATTTTAAGGAATTAACCAAGAAAATGCACCAACACACCAATTATATATATATATATATATATATATATATATATATATATATATATATATCTCATTTGGACAAAAACTCTTTTTCTAAATCTTAGTGTCCGTTTGAATTGACTTAAAAAAATAACTTTTAAACCAAAAATAAAAAGTTAATCTGAAATGATTTTAAAGTCAAATAATAAAAAATAGGAGGACCTATTTTTGGGTTTTGACTTACTTTAAATCATTTAAAACCCTATCAACACTTTCTAAACTTATTTTATGTCATTTTTAACCCTGTCAAGACTCCCTAAACTTATTTTAAGTTATTTTATTTATATTTGACAAACACTGCCAGAAGTAAAAAAATTGTCATAAAAATAAGTTTGACTAACTTTTAATGTAATCTAATTTAAGTTTGAAAACTAGTCAAATTGACTTTCAAAAACGCAACATAACAATTAAAAGTGGACAGAAAGAATATTGTCATTAATTGAGTCACAATTAAAAGTGGACAGAAACTGTATTTGTCATTAATTGAGTCAAACCAGCATTAATTAGTTCTTGAAGTAACACCTATATATACAAGGTACTATTTTGGAGATCGAAATATAATATTCTTCTGAGCTATTTTATATAATTTATCTGCTCTAACAAGGCTGAGATAAAATCTTCATACATCTTATTTTTCCAGGTTTTATTCATGAAATTATACTTAGTAATTGTTGTTGTTATCTCTTCTAATATGTTGGATTTTCTTTTTAATCTTTTTATTATTTGTTACTAATTTACTAATTTTATAATTGAATGAACTTATTGAATCTTGAAGATACATTTAGTTATGTTATTCAGTTTTTATTCATCTATTTTTAGAACAATTTATATTGATTTACATTTGAATGTATATCTATAAAGTTAGATTTAGTATGTTATTATTATTATGTCAAAGTTAGGAGGATCCTACCTGTCTTTTGATCAAATGGGGAATAATCATCAAATTTTTTTCTTTAATAAAAACACAAAATAAAGCAAGCATATTAAATTTTAACCTTTTATGTTTATAAATCTGTCACAAGTAAGTAAATATACCAACAATTGTTCATTAACTAGATAGCAATGTAAATATTTATTACTCCATTTCCCTATTATTATTCACAGTCGTATTTATTACTACTGTATTAGTTTTTTTCTACATTAATTTTAATGATTTACTGTATTTTTTTCTTATACTAATTTTTAGTATATGATTTGCTTCAATCCAGATAATTTAAAATTGTATGTACATGAGTATATTTTTTAAATTTCACTTGTGAAATTATATGGATTCGCCATGAAAAATGGGGAAACTTATGAATGGTTTTCAGCAAATGCAAATGATGAATTGATCGAATTTTTTTGTACTTTTTGCTGGAAAAATGGCAGGAAATCGTGGAATTAGGTTTTGGTATATGTTTCATCCATGGCCGGAACTGCCAAGGGACACCATACCGGAGAGGAAGGAGGAGCAGGAAGCTCCGAAGTCGTTTTTGAGCCGTCAATGGATAAATTTCCAGTCCATATAATAAGTTGTATATTGGAAAAACTGGATTTGGAATCTGTTTGCACCGCCGCTTGTGTCTCTCCGACTTTCAGTTCCGCCGCCGCACAAGTTTTCCCTTCTTTATCGTCTCTCGATCTTTCCGTACGTCAATTTTTTTTTCCTAATTGAATGCCCTAATTTTATTGATGTAGTTAGATAAAATGAGTTAATTAGCAGCCTGATTGAGCAGAATACATATGAAATTAGCAAATTAACAAACACTAGGTGATTTCGTGTGTAGAGTTACTTGCTTTATGTTGTTGGTGGGAGGTGACATGTATTGCATGGAATTAGTCGAGGTACATGCAAGTTTGTTGGTGGGAGGTGACATGTATTGCATGTAATTAGTCGAGGTACATGCAAGTTGTCCCGGACACTATGGTTATCAAAAGATAATAATTTCAATTCAATCATCTCGTGCTAATGTTAAGTGAAATATGTTGTTCCTAGATTATCTAAAATCTTTTGTTGGATTTGTATACTTGATTGATTATTACGAAATGAAATGAGTGTGAATAGAGTGGATTAAAACTCCATGACTTAATGTAGAGGAGATCATTTAATTTAGGATTTAGACGTAGTTGATTGATTATCTTAAGATTGCTTTGACTTCGAGAATTTATTTTGAGTTTATTGCTGGTTGATTTAGATTGACCTATTTCGATGAATCTTAATAGAGTAAAATGCATGTGGAGAATGCGAATTGATGCATAATTGATTGTTCATTTAACCATCTTTAGTTTTGCTTATGCAATTTCTACTTCTGGGATGAAATTTTAATACTAGTATCTTTGATTTACAGGGACATTATCTGGATGAAGAAACTCTAAAACAAGTAGCGCGTAGGGTCCAAGGAGCCAATAGTTTAACTATTGATTGCCTCCAACTGAAGAATGACACCTCCATTTTCAATATTCTTGGTGAACATATCGAAGATTTGAGTTTGCTCAAATGTTCCTCTCTGTCTTACCACATTCTTAGTGCAATTAGAGAAAGGTGCCCCAACTTAAGGTATTCTGCCATGTCAAACTTCATCTTTGCTACTTTTGACAATTCATATATATAGGTAATTGTTATAAGATGCTTCACTGGTTTATAAATTCTTGTCGTTGATGTTAAATCTTTACAAGTGGTTGCAATCATTTTAGCAGGGCTTAGAAGGTGTCAATCGCCTCCATTGATGGATGTTCAGAATGTTGTTATCCTGAAATTCTTTCTGCATAAAATGGATTTTATCTAGTTTTAATAGTTCACTTGAGCCATTACATTACAACTTGCTGAAGCTGATTTGTATTGTTTCCTCCCGATATATCTGAAGCAGATTTGTTAATTTGTGAACCAATTCATCTATCTGCTGAATTTGAATTTTTTCTTTGTTGACCCTTCATGGTATCTGAATTCCTTTAGGCTGTTTGGGTATAGAAAACTGCGAACTGTGTTAGCTTTTGTGCTTGGCATTCTTTAATTTCACTTTATATATCCATCTTCAGAAGATGGAACAGTCAAGATAATTAAGTCCATTGTGGTTACACCAACAATATGTTACTTTCATAATCTTGTCATTTATCCCTGGATTTGTTTCCAATGTATGCTTTCTTTTTTTCTCTTTTCCTTTTTCTGAATCAGGTCCTTGCTTATTGAATTTGCTGGGTGTGAAGATCCACAACTTTTCAAAAACAAACTTACAGAAATGCTCCAAAAGTTGACCTTGTTAGAGGTGAAGTATTCTCATCTTTCACATACTTCTCCTTTCTTCTTCAAATTGTCCCCGGTGCCTCTTCAAGCTTATTACTCTTACAACAAAGAGTTTCTTCTTTAGAGAGTCAGTTTTATGATTTTTTTTCCTGTCCTGCAGGTGCTGTCCATAAAAATTCGAGTGACCTACTTTGATGTATTTGATGTACGACCTCTTGAACTATTTCTGCCCAAAAGTTTAAAAAAATTGAAGTTACAACAAACAGAGGGACGCACATTTGTCCATTGGTTAGATAAGATCAGGGATATCCCTTGGTTCAACTTGCAAAGCTTATCTCTTGTCTTGGATGTTATATCAGATAGTCTTCTCATGACAGTTGTGTATTCTCTTCCTCTTTTGGTGGAGCTGGATCTTGAAGACAGACCTTTTATGGATCCAACGGCACTGGACTTGACCAACATTGGAATGCAGTGTGTGCAGTCCTGCAAGCATCTAATTACCCTTGCAATTGTTCGAAGTAGTATGTATTGTCCCACTGCATTTACGAGAGTGGACAATATGGGCATGTTCCTTCTTTCTGAAGGTTGTGGAAGGTTGGAATCAGTGAAACTTGGTGGGTTCGCAAACGTTACTGATGCTGGGTTTTCGTCAATTCTGTACTCATGCCGGAAACTGAAGAAATTTGAAGTGTCAAATTCACGTCTATTATCAGACTTGGTGTTTCATAATATGAGAGGAGTTGCAAGGTCCCTAATTGAATTAAGGTTGTTATCATGCAGGCTTCTAACTAGTGAAGCTTTGGAGGAGTTGTCCTCATTGAGTAAGTTGGAGGTACTTGACACAAGTGGGTGCAGAAGCATTGCAGACCCCTGTCTCTTCGTCATATCAAGTGTTACTACACTCACAAAACTAAACTTAGCAGAAGCTGATATCACCGATAAGGGTCTTGCTTTGCTTGGTATGGGAAACTTGGGCATTACGCAGTTGTGCATCAGAGGCTGTAAGAGAGTAACTGATAAGGGAATTGAGCGTTTATTTCGTGCTGAAGGGAAAATTGGTAAGACGTTATCACTGTTGGATGTCAGTCGCATGCCCGGAATAACTGATGCAGCTATATTTACCATTGCATCTGCTGCTAAAGCATTAACTGATTTAAGTCTAAGGTACTGCTTTCATGTGACTGATGCTGCAGTGAAGATGTTGGTGGATAGACCAAATCACAAGGGTAGTCTAGTTCAAAAGCTTGATCTTTTTGAATGTCGAAGTCTGTCTGGTGATTCGATAATGCTACTTATGCACAAGTCTTCTTTCCGTGGTTTGCGCTGGCTTGGTGTTGGAGGTACTCTGTTAGTCGATAAAAGAGACAATTTCTCCACAATATGCAATGTGCGACCCTGGCTGGTTGTGTGTTTTGATGGCTGCGAATTTGGGTGCCATGATGGTTGGCAATTTCATTAACAGAAGGCGGATATTTTAAGAGGAAATTCAACAGATCAAGATGGACCTCATCCTTGGCATCTCAAAGGCTGGCCCCTTTTACATAGTAGTAACATTTCAATTAGGTATCTCCATATTTCAGTAGCACAAGTTGGTGATGCATGTTGGATTGCTTCCTAGGCTGCAACTCATCTTTTGTGTCTCTACGTGTGCTTGAGCAAGACTCTGTTTATTTTATTTTAGCCTTCTCCCTTAGTTTAGGCATTATTGTGCTTTATTAGCTATCTATTGTAATGAACCTTTAGAATTACAAACACCCTGTTAAACCGTTTTAAATGAACCATGATCATTGATCAATTATATTTGCTCTCAGTCGATACTTGTCTGCTGTACTTAATATATGTCTACTTTTACTTTTCAAGTTTGAAAAATCAAGATATAATAATTTTACTATTTTTATACTTATTATTAAAGTAGTATTCATTTCCTAACATTTATATCACAAATTTTAGTAATTAAAAGGGGTAGGTTACAAAGGAACGTAAACATGTACTAGTAATCAGTTTACGTTAAAAAAGGTACAATTAAACAAAGCGCACTTGCCTCAACCACTTTCTGGTATTTCCATAATTGTGTTGTGCCCACAAGAATAGTAGTAGGTAATAATAACATGGGGAAACTAAAACCAAGGCAAAACAAAAAAAGTTACTAGTTTGATTCCTATATTCCATACACGTGATTCCTAAACTCGCAAAGATAGGAAATTAAATAAGAGCAAGAAAACAACATCTACTTTCAAATAAAAGCAGTTCGTCCTAGTATGCCTGTCATATGCAGTGTTGAATTTGTACTGCAACCATAAAAAAAAACAAAGATGATTTGGCTCATGGACTTCACGGAATCAGAGATGACCAAGTGCTTGCACTACAAAATTTGTGGTAATACTGGTGACAACTTATTTACCAGCATTTGCACTGTTCCTAATAAACAGTTTTGACATGATCGACAAGCTTAATTGAGAGATAAAGTGACCTTTATGTATAAAATTATCAATTGGAAAGAGGAAAGCCCATGGGTGTATTTAGCATAACCTCACTGCTTCCGTATATCGATTAAATACCTTTTATGAATTCTATTCCTTTTTTTATCAGGTGAGATAACTACTACCTCCGATGAATTTATTTCTTTTATCCGCTATAGTCATTAACATTATTATTATTCCACCAAGGTACACTTTAGTCCTAAAAACTATATTACACTGGAAAATATATCAAGAATGAAAATCAGAAAGAAGAAAGGGGGACAGAAAAGTTGATGTTAAAAGCTAGTTGAGCAATTTTTACCAAATCACAATATAACTTATCATGATGATCAAATTAACAAAAAGAAGTTGTAGAAGCCTCAAACATCATACCTAGAGCAGCTGGTGAACATGGCGAGGTAACTAACTAATAATGTGTCGTTATACTCCTGCAACAAAAGAAAGAACATATACAATGATAGAATCAGACAAGCAGTTAGAATATATTAGGTGCACTACAGCAAATATAAGATCTCTAATAACCAATTTATAGGTCAAAACTCGAACTATTAGTCACCATTTACAGATCTTGAGGTTCTTATCAGGGAACCAAAAAGAAGTAACCCAGTGAACTCTAGTGAAGACACACACACACACTCATGTATCTGCAACTCTACTGAATAAGCTCAAAATGCACTCACCATCGAGAAATCATCTCTGAATTTCTCCGACTCGATAGTTGGTAATCTTCTTAAAAGACTATAGACCTGCCTCAAAAGTGAATTATCACAAGGGATATCACCTGCACTCACAGAAACTGCAACATTAAAATCTTTGGATAATTGAAGAAACTCATTAGGAAAATATTTGAGGAGCAGAAATGTCAAGGGAAAAGACATTCCTCTTCACTTATACACAGTTTCTAAGTCTATCAAGCATCTGGATTCACCGGTCCATTTAAGGAAAACTTAACTTTTACTCGAGTTGTATAATATAAATATATAATAAAATTTTATGATGATTAGGTGAGTCTCCCAGTTAATGCACTTCCTTCACAATCAATTTAAATGTAATTTCAAGTCCCAACAAGTTCTAGGTACCTTTTTGCATTGCAAGCAGATAGTGATGTAGCACTCTAGTTCTGCTATTCAGCATCTTAATGGCACTATGTATGCCGGTGAGGTGGGCAGTCACTGTAGAAAACAGAACATGTAAGTCCTAGACAAGCTCTGCCATTGTTGGCAGTGGAGAAGATAAAATAGCAGATGATTCTAGTTTTGTTAAGCACTGTTGCAAGCTTGGAATTGTAAAAAAAAAAGAAGAGGAAGTTAATGGTGCTCACACTGAGTTGCAGCAAAACCTCCATAAGATGGTTTAAGATGAGCAACATGATCAACAGAAATCCGTTCAGCTTCAACAGTCTGGCAAGCAATGAGATATTTGAAAAGCACGAAGGATTTGATTAAGGTGCTCCCAAGAACTAGTTGACAAGACAAAAAAATTGGTAAGACTGTACCACTATCTGGTAGCTTGCTTGGACAAAAATAAGTTGTGGGATGCCATCAATGGTACCAACAAACAGTTTCAAATAAAAATATTAGGCACCAAAAGAACTTATTTCACAAAAACAGCTGCAGCTAGATGATGTTAATAGATATATTTTATTCTAACAGGGACAACAAGACAAATTTCTGCCAATAAAAGTTGCCACATTGATTTCAGATATTCGTCATAGAGCAGTGGTCATATTGACTATATACGCACCACTTTCATAGAGAGTAAGTGGCAGGTCCTTCTGTGCATGATTGATAGAAGGATTGAAAAGCAAGTACACAGGACTTTCATTGATATCCATCAACTGATACAAAGAAACATATAACAAGGTTATTTGTTGCCAAATACATAATATTCTTATTGTGGATGGACAATAACTAGGGAAAGAAATACAATCTATTAGAAAGATAGGCAAATTAATCATCTCCAAATAAAGTAATATTTGAATCACAGGCCTTGACTGACATATCCCATCCCCACCCCTCAAAATAAAACTACCTTCGCAAACAAAAGAAGATGTTACAATAGCCCTACTCCACTAAATAATGATTCAGACCATGAAACATCAATAGCATTTTCTATCCTCTTGTAATTCTGATGTTCAAAGATATATCATCAAATCATTCCCCGTAGAGAGTATAATGCTGGGGCATCTCGGATAAACTGATCTTCTTGCGATAGTTTTGAAAAGACACGATTTTTACTACTAAATATTATTTAACTTCCTGAATAGCACCATTCTATAGAATTTATAGTCATCTTTTCCCTTTTACCAGATTACCATCCTCTCTTTCGCACACAGAAAAGTACGAGTTACCTTGAGTTCTATATTTCTCCTCTTAATTAACAAGCAAAAAGAACAGAAAGTGATAAATAAGTTTGAAAACAAAAGGAATTCAATAAGGCGTTCAAATACAAGTTTCTGTCATGGCCTTGGGCCTAATTAATGTCCAATAAGTAGTTATAACTACCGGGTGAAAGCTACGACTCAGATTAGATGTAGATTAATGAAGTTAGAGGGTAGAGATGCAGCCACGTCATCAGAAGCCAACTCAGCACAAGTCATACTTTTAACAACCAATCTAGCAGAGGATAAGCATAACGGAAATTTGGTATTTTCTTCTCCCACTTCTCTTCTTTTTTATCTCAGATCTCTTCTTCTCTTTCTTCCTCATCTTTTCTCTTCTAATCCTAAACTCCTTCTGTTCTGCAGATTGTGGACTCATCAATGGCTGTTGTAGTGGCTTAGTTCAATTCCATTTACTTTAGTTTTAATTGTCTTTCATTTCCAAGTTGATTAATAGAAAATTGTCCCAAAAAATTCCACTATTCCATTTAATTTTTGCAAGTTAACTGTTCGATTTAAGGCCAAGTCATAACAATTGGTATCAGAGCCAGGTTTCGCTCAACTCATGAAGTGAAAATGGTTGAAGGGACCAGGATGAAGCTGCTAGATGATAAGTTGTTGCGTCATGACGAAATTTTGGGAGATCTCACTACAACTTGCAGGGAACTCAACGAAACTCAAACTAGAATCAGGGGAACTTTGGAGCTTATTTTGGATCGTTTGACAGCTCTAGAAAGAGCACCAACCAAAGCTCCTAAAGGTCCTTTTCCAGTTAGAGATGGGCTGCTACCAAATCCCATACAGGAAGCTAGGGCCAGATTGCCAATTCCACCTCCAAAATGGGAACTACCAAGCTTCGACGGGAACGAACCTAAGGTATGGTTGCGTAAGTGTGAAAAGTACTTTAACCTATATAGAACTGCTGATAATCAAAAGGTAGAGGGAGCTGCACTCTATTTGAATGGGCTTGCTGAGACATGGTATAATTCACTTGTTTTGGATAGAGGAGTAATTACTTGGGCTGAATTTAAGGAGGAACTCTGTGTGAGATTTGGGGAGGCAGATGTTGAAGATACAGTTGAGGAATTTAATAAGCTATCTCAAATAGGAACTGTAGATGAATTCCTTGGCAAGTTTGAAGATCTGAAGGCCCAGATGATAGTAAAGAACCCAGCCTTGAATGAGGCTCATTTTCTGTCAAGTTTTATTGGAGCTTTGAAGGAAGAAATCAAGTTTGGGGTTAAAATGTTTAAGCCAGTAACATTAAGAGCAGCTGTAGAGTAGGCTAGACTACAGGAGAAAGTAATCGAAGTAGCTCAAAAGAAGAACGTGATGACGACTAAAACTTCCAATCAGGTGGGAGGGTCTAGTTCTACAAAAAATGCTATGGGAAGCAATTCAATTCCTACTGCGGCTAGTGGTTCAAATTACTCCAAACATGCTGCTGTGAACAACCCTCGACCAAACACTTTTAGGTTGACCCCAAAAGTGTATGAATACAGAAGGAGCAACAAGTTATGTTTCAAGTGCGGAGAGAAGTATTACCCAGGACACAACTGTAAGGCTAAGCAGTTGAACTGCATGAGGGGCGAAGAAGAGGCCATACTCCCAGATGAAATAGAGGTACCTGAACCACCAGATCTTATCATTGAAGGAGAAATACAACAGGAGGTTATGGAGGCCATATGTTTGAGTGCCTTGTCTGGTAGTAACCAAGAAGTAAATGTTATCTTAGTCAAAGGATCAACTAAGAATAGGGTCCTTGCAGTACTAATAGACTCGAGAAGCACACACAGCTTCATAGATGAACAAGCTGTGAGTGAAACTGGTTATGTAGCTGAATATAGTTCCCCCATGAAAGTTACTGTTGCTGATGGTAACTATGTGATGTGTCACATGAGTTGTCTTGGTTTTAGCTGGAAAATGGGAGGTAAATCGTT